AGTGAGTGTGAGAGTGAGTGTGAGTGTGAGAGAGTGTGAGTGTGAGAGAGTGTGAGTGAGTGTGAGTGAGAGTGAGTGAGAGTGAGTGTGAGTGTGAGTGAGAGAGAGAGGAGAGAGTGAGTGTGAGTGTATATAATCCCTGTTTCAGAATGAAAATTGCATCACTGCAGCTTATTCCTTTCCTGAACCCATTAATCTCTTCCTGAAGTATGTTCTCCAACTCTTTGTTAAGTTAGTATTTCAATTACATGGTATACAAATTTGAAGCTGCTGTTGATAATGAAATTCCACAATAATGATCTATCTTTTGACCCATTTTTAGTATATTGGATATTAAGGCTTTGTTTCAATCTGCAGGTACTTTGCTTTCAGACCAAAGATTGTTAAAGAATTTTAATAATGACCTTTTCATCCATACTGCGCATTTCCATAATTCCATTGACAAGTCATTCAGTCATGTAGATTATGCACTGATTTTTTTTTCTTATACTACTGCATATTATCAAAAAATTCTACAATTGAAGACTTGAAATAAAAAGCAAGTTAAATGTACATTTTTACCAGAATAACGATGAATGAAGCCATATAACAAATAAGAACTTAAGTCCAGATGCATTTCTTGATAGTGTTAAGGGGTGATTGTAAATGGCAGGAGTTGTATGTGCAAATAAGTTCAAAGTATACATGAACTCATTTTTCTTCAAAGTACAAAAGTGGAAGTTACATTTCTTTTATTTCAAGCCATCAACTGTAGCAAGTTTCAAACTACTGGTGCTAAAATTACACATACTTTTTTCCCCCCGTTTTTTCACACAAAATTATGCCAAAAGCACTCAACTTTTCCAAGCACTGTATATGACCTCATTTCAAAATCTTTAACAAACAGATTTCACTAATGGAAAAAACTCTACCTTTAATATTGCAGGAAGACAAAATGTTGAACTTTCACAATTTTTAGAAAATCAAGAGTTTTTAATGACAATGTGTGAAGGAAGTTTAAACATCCTTCACACATTGTCATTAAATAAGGATGTTTAAACATCCTTCACACTATTCAACAACAAAATTTAATCAAAAACGATGCAGCCTTTTTTTAATTTTTTTTATTTTAATTTGTAAAATGTCCCAGAGGTTTTATGTAAAGAACCCCCAAAATAAAAATATCGGTTTCAAATTCACGGTGTCGCGAAATCATTGAGATCCATAGGGGAATATGAATTTTGAAGAAAATCTGCTAAATTGTTTAGCCGCTTCGGTTGCCCACAGACAGACTTTTCCTGTCAAATTTTTTGGTATCAAGGACCCAGAAAATATACCACGTGTCCACCACACCCAATTTTGCTCATAAGATTCTTACACAACTTAACAAAGAAGAAAAAGATACAGTGAGAATAGATGTAATTGATAAGAAAGATTAGATTAAATACTATAGAAATTTATGGTATAACGAAAATTAAGCACAACATGAAACATGTGAAGTGGTATGCAGGTAAGTCAATCCCATAACAATAATTGAGATCCAAGAGGCTTTGAAAGAACTTAAAAATAGGTAAGCAACTGGAACAGAAAACCTAAATGCAGAATTATTAAAATATGGCGGGATGATGGCGACTGCAACACATTGTAAATTTCTGTTGGCAAACTAATAACATACCAGAATCATGGAAAACTGCTGAAGTAATATCCGTATTTAAAATAGGAGATCGAAAAGATTGTAATAATTATAGAGGAATCAGTATCTTAAATGCAGTGTACAAGCTGTACGCTAGAATA